ACAGCCCCAGTTGTACTTCCATGTAACAATGTCTGTGTACAAAAGCTGCTGAAGATGCATGGTGTTCAGAAGAGCTGTCTTAGGTTTAGATTTCACCTTCCTCTTTACTTGGGATGGAAACTCTGGCATCAGATATATGACTTTTGGCTGTTTAATGGAGACAAATGAGATAGTGTTGAAGTTAGCTTTATTTTCTACAAGATATACCTATTAAAATAAGTATTGCTGTATCACATTTGACATTCCAAAATTACCCTTGCTTTCAAAGCATGTGGAAAAGCACACAAAATAGGCTAGAAAAATTATCCAAATACTTTCCAAAAGCAGAATCGCTCTTGAACAGATCCTGCAGATATTTTGTTCTGATTTGCAAATGGCTTCACACAGAGATTTTTTAAATACAAGGGAAAAAAAAAAAAAAGACTATCCTTTATTTTCCCCCTCTCAGACCCAAAAATACACTCTTTTCAGCTTCTTTACAGTTTCACCCTGACAAGCACCACTAATACATTTCATAATCTAATCTATCAGGAAAATAGCACAGCAAAACAGAAACAGTATTTCACCATGTTAATTGAGTACTTTTGGAAAGATCTGCTCAACACTAGAGTCAGATCAAGGAAAGTGTCAGGACTGTGCACATATGCAAAAGGAGGGGGCAGAGCAATAACTCAACATTTATGTGTTAGTGAGTGGGAATAATTTTGTTTGCTTAGGTATAGAATGACTACCACATTACCAGATGACACTGCAATATTGCCACTACTAGAAAGGCCTTGCAAGTGCTGTAGATTACTTGCTTTTGTTTCTCAAGTCACAAACAGTTAAAATGAAGACTAGCATGCTCCATGACCACCACCCACAACAACATGAATCCTGTCAGTCTTAAGAATAACTATTATCCAGAACAATAGAAAATAGTAGAAATGTGTCCAAAGATGTATTATCAAGTGTAAGCCAGTACGATGATAGATAAGCTTTTCATGGTCTGGAGGCCACTCTGGACACAGTAGATATCCTTATACTGGATTTTAAATTTTCCCTCATTTCTTTATAAGCAAAGATGATAATAACTATGGAATGGTCTACATGTAGAGTTTTATTACTGCAGCTGGCCACAAAATAATCAGTGACTCAATACAATAATGCGTAGATAATTATATGCCTGTAGTAGATGGCTATACTGGCATATCACTGATTTGATGGAAGAAGTCAAAGTGAAAAGACACAGTGAATCCACAAAATAAAATATCCATAATGAATTTTAGCAAGCATTCGTGAGTTCATAAAATAGCAATGTAGGAATACACATAATGAAACAGGAAAGCAACATGTCACTTCTTCAGATATGATATTGGAATAATTACTTACTTCTATCGCTGATTTTAATCTATTCATTCAGATACGTGACAAACCCTTAGCCTTCTTTTCCCCAGAAATGAGGAAGAGACTTCAATCTGATCAATTTTCTTAATTTGTCTCACTCCCTGTATAGTGATATGCCTTCTCTGATAGATTAGAGACAGTACACTTTGTTTTACTGTGTGTAATGTCAGAAGGTCTTCCAGAGTAGGACTAAAGAAAAACCATATGAAGATAATAAGAAAAGGAATTCAATTTCATAACCCTTCTTCATCTGAACACGTTTGCCTCAAGCAAGGATAGTACAGGGAGAGCAGTAACAAAACATGATCTAAGTATGAGTGCTGAGAACAGGGATGAAGGATAAAGATGACCAGATGACAAAGCAATTGTTTCTAGAGTGAGTATTTTGCCCTTTATTTGTAGGTTTTGTAATTCAGTGTCAGTAACAGGAAGACACTCATTCATCACTGATTTAACGTGCACTGATTCTGAGGATGAAGCACAGCTGTTTTGTGAGGATCAGCACCCATCAGACACCGATGTAGGTAAAAGCTACAGTTGTCTGAAGTTTCTTGAGAATCCCACAGGGACCACTAGCATCACTAGAGCATAGCAACAGCAATTCCCATTGCTATAGAAGACACAGCTGCTAGAGCAGCTTGAAAAGAAATCTAGAAGGCAAATTGACACTCATTCCAAAGTGAACTTTCATTTATCTCTGTATTGTAATGGAAATTTATGGATAATAGTCTATTTCAGGCCAATTTAGAACAGACTATTTCAGTCATGCTGCTCAATTGTTTGAAACGATCACCTAAAGGTGTAATGTTAAATCCTTATTTTCAACGCTATTTTATGTGCTTCATTTTTCGTTGGAAACTGCTTTGCTTTTTCAACTTGTAAGCTTACAATCACTAGATATCCCATCACTTTGTGAACCTTTCAGAAAGACAGGGAAGCAAGTGTACCATTATGTCACTTGCACTGGTCACAGGAAAACTTGTTCTACATCATTACATGAATACTAAACATAAATTCTGTCTTGCTATACCTTTGTGCTGCATAGCACAAAGCAATTTGATCCAAATTGGGTCGTTTTGGTACTAACACACAAACAAATAAAATGGTTGCATTTTTGCAGTGGTAGCCAAACATTCTTTTGCACCATCCACAATACTGGTTAGAAGCACCAGCTTCACTGCTACAGTACAATGAATGAGAACAAATTCTAGCATTCTGTTATGTAATATGTTCATTGCAGAATGAAATTATGCTGCTCTATTAAAAACTGCTTTTACAGGATACTGTGGAAGACTGAGAGTCATTAAAATATGAACTACTTTTAGTTTGCTTTAAAAAAAATCCATTATAAATTGTATTTTCAGAATTAATACTAAACACATCTTCGCTTGAATCCTATTGCCTGCAACAGTTAAAAATGGCTACAACATGATTGGCTTAAACAAGCAGTGTTCAGTGGATAGTCCCAGGCTGTTTCACTCATCACTCTTCTTTGCTACGTACACAGGCAAACTTATTAGTCCATAACTAGGTTTTTTACACAGAATGTTCTGTAAAGCTTTGAGAGTGAAGTTGAGAAGTCTCAGTTAAAAAATGAAAAAAAAGTAATCCTTTTAATGGTACCATCTGTTTTCTAAGCATTGCTCTCATTGACTCAATGCTCAATTAAGCAAACCAGGCTCTGTGTGCCAAAGCCATGAGGCATTTATGTTATGAGATGGCATCTCTCTTTAAAAAAATCAAATTGTCCGATAATCTTGATACCAATGTTTGATTCAGTTCCTAGAAAATTTTCCATAAAGGAAGTAGGCTTTTGCTAGCAAAACTGGAGAAGAGACATTAAAGGAGAAGGTACTTTGAAAAATATTCTTCCTTCTTCCTCTAACCCTTTATAATCAATTTACATAGATAATTCACACAGAGTTTTATACGAGGTGAGGGACACAGCTTGTTTTCCACTTTATGTTCCATTCCTGTGACAAGTGACCTACAGATTTAACTTAATTCTGCACAAAAATATAATTTGGGCTCCGCACTCACATTTTTTTCTTGAGAGATTTACATAGGTATTGGATGCCTAGTCAGTAGCAAGTCACTCTTACATCTGCCAGATTGCTGAGATGGAAAGAAGCAGTGGGCTTAGAAGTCAATTTTCTGCAAGACTTTCATTCTACAATACCTGCACCACCTATGAAATTCCCAGTCTCCCTGCTTATAGAAGGTATCAATGAACCTTCCAGATAAAAGGCTCCAGCTCTCTGATGTTTCTAACTCTCAGAAGAATGCATGGATACTAGACTTGAACTTTCCCAGAAGCGCATAAATTCAATTACTCTGAATGGAATATATTTAATCTACTTCATGCAAGAAAATATTAAGAGTAGAATCATCAAAGCAAAGTTTCTTACATAACTGGTTTAGTTGAGTCTTGGGGAAAGAAAATGAGGTTTATGAATACACAACTGTTCAGAACAAGAGTTCCTAAAAATGGAGGAAATTAAAGTTTTAGTCGTGTTACAAGGGGCACGGAATGGTTCTCCATGCAATAATTTTTCATTAGATTGTAACTGTCCTGGTTTCAGCTGGACAGAGTTGATTTTCTTCATAGTACTTGGTATGAGTGAACAGCCGTGTGTTGCTTAGCTGCCTGCTGGGTAAAATCATAACAGTACATTACTTTAATTGCTATTTTATACAGCTTTGCCCCCTACATTCAACCCCAGAATTTGTTTAGCTGCAAGAGGCTGTAAAAAGTATTGGCTTACTACTTCTGTATCCTGTAAATCTTAAAGCTTCCTGTAATATTCTTTCCTCTATTTTTTTCTTAAATTATATGCAGTTTCACCAAACTGGAATACATTTGAACCAAGAAAAATTAAATATATATATATTAAGATAAACATTTTGAAAGACATTTAAATATTCTCTTCATATTTTTCTAAAACAAAATTTGTTCAAATTTTCATTTCATTTATGTTCAGTCTGTTCTGTTTAGACAGCTAACTTTAAAATTCCTGCAGTATAAAAACATATGTAAGGTTCTGTCACTAATGCACCTCCATAATTAACGAAGAGAAACAGCTACTTTTAGATTGCTTAACCTTACCTCCCTGAAACATCTCCTCCAAGAAGAGAAGAATTATGCCCTAAAATCATCTTTTTTCCATCATTAGCTTAGAAAGGTCTAAACAGTATTTCAAACATACTTATTTCCAGTGAGGATTTTTCAGCTGGCTGCATTGCAACAGTTAACTTATTTACTGCCAGTTTAAAATTCCCACTTTGCTCATCACCACATTGTAGTCTAACTTCACATACTGAAAAATCTCTTTACTTGCAGCAGAACAAAAAATTAATTCTGCTTTATGTACCAATATACACCATACATACATCAAAAACTGATTCAAAATTTTTCCTTCAGACACCTGAAGAAGCTAAAGGTAATAATTCCTCAACAGCAAATCCTTTTCCAGTCAATAAAGTAAAACAAAATGAGGCATAGCATAACACCGTAAACTGTACCCTTACCTGAGTGCTCCTAGATGTAAAGACGATTCATGTCACTGAGTTACAAATACAGAGACATTGTGTACATTCTGAATAAGAAAGGATACATTCGTATGGCTCCTGTTCTTGTTCCAATTGCCAGAATTTTCTGAACTGGGTCAAAAGCTAAGGCAGTGGGTAGATAAGGAAAACCATGACGAACCGTCTGAAACAGAACAAAATACCAAAGTCAGTGAAATGTCAAAGTCAGAACTGCAAACAACAGCATGTATGTTCTATGTTACAGGTACAGGAAAAGAATTTACATTTTTGTAATCAACACTGTCAGTTGATAAAGACTCAACGTGAGCCAATTATGTGCGCTTGCAGCTCAGAAGGCCAATGGAAACCTGGATGGAATGAAGAGAAATGTGACCAGCAGAATGAGGGAAGTAATTCTGCCCCTCTACTCTGCTCTTGTGAGACCCCACCTGGAGAACCATGTGCAATTTTGGAGGTCCCAACACAAGGACATGGAGCTGTTGGAGTAGGGCCAGAGGAGGGCCACAAAGATGATCAGAGGGATGGAGCACCTTCCCCACGAGGACAGGCTGAAAGAGCTGGGGCTCTTCAGCATGAAGAAGAGAAGGGTCCAGGAAGACATTACTAGCAGCCTTCCAGTACCTGAAGGAGGCCTACAGAAAAGTGGGAGAGGGACCATTTATAAGGACAGATAGCAACAGGATGAGGGGAAATGGCTCTAAACTGGAAGAGGGTAGATTTAGACTAGACATTAGAAAGAAATTCTTTACTGTGAGGGTGATGAGACACTGGAACAGGTTGCCCAGAGAGGCTGTGGATGCCCCCCTCCCTAGAAGCATTCAAGGCCAGGCTGGATGGGCCTTTGAGCAACCTGGTCTAGAGGAGGTGCCCCTGCGTACAGCAGGAGCTTGGAACTAGATGATCTTAAAGGCCTCTTCCAACCCAAACCATTCTATAGTTCTGTGATTCTATGATTTTACTTTATGTTGTATTATTTGCAATACATTTCCACAGAAGCATTGTAAAAGATACGTTGTTCTAAATACAAAGGTGAATTTCATTCATGTTAATTTCTACATTTGCTCTTTACTTGGATATTTTATGTTTTTGTTTTAACAATGTAGATTATAAAGTATATACCAATGTACAACTGTATATGGAAAGACAACCTCAAAATGGAAGGCAGCTATAACTCTAAATTAAAAAAAAAGACATTTAATATGATTTTACAATGCTGTAACAAACAAACAAACAGTTTCAGTTTGATTAGAACAGCCACAGAGGACAAAAAAGGAACTTATCCAGAGGAAGACATCCAATAAATCAATAAACTGAATTGAGTCTATGAAGGAAAAATCCTTCATATCAATTAAAAGAAAAAAACAAAACAAAAACGCCAGAGAAGATGTTCTCAAAATGAACAGCTGAATCACTCATCCTTTCTTAATCTTTATTTGAAATACTATGCTTGTAATTCTGATTTTTCAGAGATGCAATGCATCCTTAGGTTTGAAGACTTCCTCAAATAATATTTTAAATTATCATACTGGTCTAACTGGAAGTTATGACCAGTATGACTCGCCTGATTCTTATCAGAAACAATCTCATGATAGAAAAGTCCAACACACACACAGAAAAAGACTGAAAATAAAAAGGCTAGACTAGAAAATACAAATAACAATAATAATAATAAAATAATTGTAGTGAGTGTGACTGTTTACCTAATAATACCTCAAGTACAGTGTTCAGGTTTGGGCCCCCCACTACAATAAAGACATTGAGGCCCTGGAGCATGTCCAGAGAAGGGCAACAAAGCTGGTGACGGGTCTGGAGCACAAGTCTCATGGGGAACTGAGGGAGCTGGGATTGTTAGTGTGGAGAAGAAGAGGCTCGGGGAGATCTTATCACTCTTTACGACTCCCTGAAAGCAGGTGGTGGCGAGGTAGGGGTTGGCCTCTTCTGAATGAGTAGCGACAGGACCAGAGGAAATGGCCTCGATTTGCTCCAGGGGAGATTCAGATTGGATATTAGGAAAAATTCCTTCTTTGAAAGAGCAGTCAGATGCTGGAAAGGGCTGCCCAGGGAGGTGGTTGAGTCACCATCCCTGTAAGTGTTAAAAAAAGTGTTAGATATTGTACTAAGAGAACGTGGTTTAGTGGGAAAATATGGACAGTTGGACTGGATGATCTTGGAGTTCTTTTCCAACCCTTAATTCTATCCCATAGAATTATATTATTCTAAATTTTGATAACAAATAATTCTTTTTTTTAAATGCATGCTTGGGATTGAAAAGGTTTCTGGAGTGAGCAGAATTCAACTTTTTTCAGATATTTTATCTTCTTAAGATTATGAATTGTGTTATGTTCATGAATTGTGTTAGCTGAACCATTCAATAGATCTCATGGAACAACTTCTACAAGAGCTTCCCAAATTGCAGACCTGATGAGTAAAAGGCAGTTGATGATGTCTACAGCTTTATAACTACAACTGTTTTCTTTTGTTCAGCTGGAAGCACTTGAAGTGATGTTCACAAGTAGCTTGGGAACAACTACATGCATCTTTTTTTGTCAAATAAACACTTCCTTAAGAGAAATCTTACTCATCTCATGTTTTACTTATTGCTGATAAGGGATGTCTTAATTCAAATTACTAGTATCTAGACTGCAAAAATCTATAAACACATGCTAGTTCAGTAAGCTGTAGAATCATAACTCACTTTTTATGTTAATGTAGACATTTCTCAAAGGTCTCCACAACTCTGTATCTTTTTTGCATTGTGTGGTTTTCTTTTTTGTGTAGTTTCTTTGGTGCTTTTTTTTTTTTTTTTAACCTTCTCATCTTCTCAAGTGGTAGAATTACTCAGAATAAATAATTTGATATTTGACACCTGAGCTGGTTCTAGACTTACATATACTGTAAAAATGCTTTTATCTCTCATGTCACCAAATCATCGGGAATTATGAAATATATTTTCCAGTGTATCTAATGTTTGACCTAACTTCATTACTCATTTTCTATTATATGCAATATTTCTTTCCTCCTGTGAATAAATGTTCTTCTCTACAAGAAAAATACTTACATTCTAGAAAAGATTTTATTAATTTTTTTAAAAAATCTCTCTATTTCTGATATTTAATTCTGACCGGAGCTTACAGCATTGCTTCTTAGATCTAGGAGTGTAAAGATCAATATTTTTCAAGCTTTATGTTCATTCTTGCCTGTGTGTTTACCATCATTTCACGTGTGTGTTTTCAATGTTTCTGCAATCTACATAGTCAGACTTTTAATTTATCCGGGTCCTGTTTTGTAGAACTATGTTTTAAAAGCACAGACATATACATCTCTCCAGGATCATAGCTGAATTTTTAAACTCTGGGATTGATTCAGAACTGCTACTTCCATTTTGCAGCCTTTTTTCAAATTGGAAGATTTGTACCTATTCTAACCTGGAAATTCTGGTGAAGGCAAAATTATTCAATTTGTAGAAGAAAAAAAATACAGTTGAAGTTCACTGATTCTCCACATAAATGACAACTTTCAAGTAAAATATTCATACTGATTATGGCTTCAAATAAAGGATAAAAACAGTTCGGAAGAAAAACAAAGCTATAACATACACAGTTAAAATGGAACAAAATGCCTTTATGATCGAGATTTTAACGTGAATTAGAGCAGTCTCAAAGGTGATTATAAAGATCAGGCCTATTAAGCAGAGGAGTAATAACCTGTCAAACTTCAGTTTCCCAGCCTCTTCTCCTTAGATTTAGCCCAACGCTTCTATTTGCAAGGACTGTGAGAAAAAACGACACGGGAAACTATCACTTGACAGTAGATTTTTCAGTTACGTACTGATAAATCTTATGGGGAAAAAACAATTCTAGAACTGTGTCTGGGCTTCCTCACAGCATCTACTAACAGAGATGAAGAAGAGGGAAAAGTTACAAACCTGATGTTAGGATGAGGCAAAATTCCAACTTAATCTGTGCACTGTAGAGGATTAAGAATACTGACCAAAACTTTCAATAGTCAGTAGAAAATGCAAAACAAAGTAGGTTTTTTTCCCTCAAAACAAAGCTATCCCGATAGCAGACAAAACCTGAAGAAAGTATCCTAAAGTACCAGCCTGTGTTCTCATAAATACAGGACCTACCTACCACAAACATCTTAAAAGAAAGTGCTGAAACAAGGGAGCAAAAAAGCAGGCAGCAGACGGAGCCTGGATTGCTTTTCTCCACATTATCCAGATTTCTTTTATGTCTCCTTTCTGGCACATAGTTTCTAGAGGCAGACTGTGCTCCCTAGGACATGCAGTTTATATACAATATTTGAAACAGTTTATCCGAAACAAAACAACTACAAATGTAGCTATGATTTCAGTTTAAATCCTCTATTTAGGTAGTTTTGTCACACTATTTTAAATTTGATTAAAATCATTTCAAGCAAATATTCTTTCAGTGAATTCCAAATATATATATATATACATATATATACATAAATATATAAAATAAATTTAGTTAAATTTCCTATATTCGTTTATTATTTGGACTTGCCAGCATTCTACCAACAAACACTTTTGCTGTACAGAACATAACAGTATGTTTTTCAGTAGCTGGAAAGAGAATATCTCAGTAGCAGTAATATTCAGTATCCAGTACAGTTATTTCATAGTGTATAACTTGGCTTTTCAGAATTAGAAGTTTTTCTTAACTTTTGTTACATGGTAATTTATATTAGCCTGCAAAGTCATTATTTTTTCAAGGTGATTTTGTTCTTTTCTAAATAACTCCAGAAAATACAGGACTAAAATTTGTTTTAAACTGTACCAGTGGAGTAATAAAGAAAAACTGTTCCTGCTGGTTTGCATAAACATAAAATGCATGACTGATATTTTGCAGATATCCTCCTCTGCATAATATTTGACAGCAAAATTGATTTACTTAGCTAAATAATTTTTGAAGAGATGTGTACTTGTTTAAATTGAACTACGTAGTCTAAGCCTGTGACTCAGGATGTAAAATCTATTTCCAAATTGTGGTCAACATGCCAATACAGAAGCCTCACTGAAGCAAACGCTGTATCTGTGAAGCAGGGAAAGAAGTTTTAACAGAAACTTGCATAGCTTCTTACTCAGCAATGTATGAAATATTCAAAAAGGTCAACAATTAAACCTTTCATTGAGTTATA